TAGCCTTGGGCCATCGCCCGGTCCCGGATGTTCAAAATGTTTCCTTGTAAATTGTCTAATGAAGCAATAAAGGAAGGGGCTTGCTTAAATGATTTGTCTTTGAGCCACCGTAATGGGATTCTTTTTTTGGGGGGGAACATTGTTTTATGTTCGCATGCAGAAATTATCGCCCGTAATTAGGATCACTTCAATTCCGGGCTCTGCCAGGCCCCTGACATATTCTGCGGCGCGTGCCACGCCGAGCAAGGCAGCTCATAAAACCTAATCAAATAAAAATTTAAAATGCGGCCGGATGGGGAGTGGTGACGGCGGGAAGGGAGGCTGCTCGAGGGAGGAGAGAGAGAGAGAGGGAAGAGGAGGAAAGAGATGAAAGAGGAGGTGAGGAAGGAAAAGGCCTTGCTGTCTATTCAGGCTGATGAGGACTGCTTCCCACCGGGACGGACTGGGGCCAGACTGGCCATGGGTCAGCCTGGAGGCTCTGAGCGACTCTGCCCCTTCCTCCCCACTCAGATCCAACGTTCACGCCTCCAGGTTTCATTTCATTCAGGCTGGCCAGATCCCTGCCCGTGCATCTCCTTAATATTTAATCCTAATCATGCAGACACACGGGTGGATCTATTTATCCACAAGAGCTGCAGGATACATGTTTAACCAGAGGAGCACACCGCAGCTCGGATAATCTAACACGCAAGCCTTTCGGGGGGCGGGGGGAGATGGTGGAGGGGGTTCCCACAAGGACAGGCTGGCCGTCTCACTCTGGGGAGAAGACATTTATCGAGAAAAATGTCCCCGGTTTCTCTCCCCGATGTCCAGGTCAGGTCTTGGGGGTGGGGGGTGGGGGGTCAGCAAAATGCTGCTTTGCCCAATTGGCTTGAAGGAGAAGCTGCTTGCCTCGGAGCGGAGCTCCAGGTGGACATTGAGGAACGCCTCCTGCTACACGCAGGTGGGAGCACAGGCCACTGGATTGCCCTGCAATGTCCCTGTGTATGGATGGCAGCCCGTCTGTCCGGCCTGGGGCCTGGGATCTCGTTCTGGGCAGGAGGGCTGCCTGCCCGGGCAGGGGTGTGTCCCTTTGGAACCAGAGGCGTGCTAAAGGCAAAGCGACGCCATTAGGGAATGTCAATCCGGCTCATGAATATTCTGGGCACTCGTCCCCACGGCCAGTGCCAGGCCGGGCTCCCGGTTCATCAATATTACAAATCGGCACGGCGGCGGCAGGAAGGCAGTCAGCAACTGGAATAGGTGCCCGAAGCCCAAGGAATTACAATGGGAGTATTTTCCCGGGGGCACCTGGGGAGAAGGTAGGGCGATTACCCTCTTCTGTGGTCAGAGAGCACGGGATTGGGCCTGGGGAGCTCTGGGTGCAAACCCTAAGGGCCCCTCTGAAGTGCTATGTTAAGCTAAAGCCGGTTTGGCTCAGTGGATAGGGTGTCAGCCTGCGGACTGAAAGATCCCAGGTTTGATTCCCGTCAAGGGCATGTACCTTGGTTGCCGGCACATCCCCAGTAGGGGGTGTGTAAGAGGCAGCTGATGGGTGATTCTCTCTCATCGATGTTTCTAACTCTCTATCCCTCTCTCTTCCTCTCTGTAAAAAAATCAATAAAATATATTTTGAAGTGCCATGTTAACCATAGACCAGGCCTGCGCCCCCGCCCCTGCCAGGGAAAGCAGCAAAGGATCGACGAAAGCAAGCCACATGTCACAGGGGTCAGTTAGTCAGTTAACAAGCCGAGGCTGTTTATTTGAACTTGGATGGGGCCTCGTAGACACAGCATGATGATCACAATGAATGCCAAATTCGGAGAAGCTGGGCTGTTGTCACAAAACCCTCCAAACCTGATGAGCAAAGCTTTTGAGCTTTTTATTTATTTATTTTTTGCCTGTGTGGAGCCCACCATGGGCTGCGGCATCTGTCCTCCGGGTGGTGACTCAGCGATCCAGGCTTCTCCTACACGATGCCTCTTCATTTGTGGGGCGCGAGGGGGACCATGCATTGGCTCCGCTTGGCAGTGATGCTCATCACCTCCGTTCCTAGACCCGGTCCCAGAACCCCACCACCTACCCAGAAAGGGGGAGAGCCGTTTTCTGTGGGTCCAGGAAGGTTGGATATGAAAGAACATGTGCTGAACACATGGTACCATTCCTACTACGACTGCCATGTCTTTTTTTTTTCTTCTTTTAATTTTATTTTATTTTATTTTTTTAATTTAATAAATCTTTTAAAAATATATATTTTATTGATTTTTTTTTTTTAACAGAGAAGAAGAGAGAGGGATTGAGTTTGAAACATCGATTGGCTGCCTCTTGCACACCCCCTTCTGGGGATGTGCCCGCAACCAAGGTACATGCCCTTGACCGGAATTGAACCTGGGACCCTTCAGTTTGCAGGCTGATGCTCTATCCACTGAGCCAAACCGGTTTAGGCTAATTAATAAATCTTTATTGTTCAGATTGTTACAACGGTTCCTCTATTTTTCCCTTATAGCGCTCCTCCACCCAGTTCCCACCCCCCCCTGCCCTTACCTCTCCCCACCCCTGTCCTCATCCACAGGTGTATGTTTTTTTTTTTTTTTTTTACAACTGCCATGTCTTTCTTTTTTCTTTTTCTTAGTAGTCACCTTAAGGCCATTCCTCTACACTAATTATTTAACTCAGGAAAGATCCGTACAGGTAAGGAAACCGAAGACACAGACTAACTCGCCCAAAGTCTTGCCGATGACGGCACACGCAACATTTGAACTCAGGCTGGCACGCCCTTCCCCAGGTAGGCAGCAGACACTCCGATTCCGGGGAGCCTGGTGGGGCGATTTACCTTCACCCTCAAGTGTCCGCGTGAAATCCGCTGGCTGTCGGCGCATGGGAGCCGGGCCCAGACCCCCGGGGAGGAAACACCCTTTGTGGGTACGGGGGTCCCCCGTCACGGATGTGACACCTCTCCAAAGGCAACACGTGGTTCCTGGCGATGCTATTTCTTTTTCACGCAGGCGGGCAATGTGGCGAGCGCATGTTGATGTTTGATTTTCTTCCCTGTCTCCTCTGCTTTTCATCCGGGGTTCAGGCTTACGAACCTCCCGCAGTCGGTATCAAATCGGGAAGTGGACGCTCCTTGGAGAGGTGCTCTGTTGTCTGAGGGCGGAATGGAGTTTTATCCTCTTCTGCTCCGTCTGTAAGTCCATCTGTTGCTCTTGCCCTCAGGTCGGGTCCTCTTCACCCTCAAGGTCACACTCTCCGTGGGTGAAGCAGGAGGCCGCCTGGTGTCTACGTTCAGGGGCATCCTACTGGTCTCTCCTGCTTGTGCTGGTGCCTAAAATAAGGTGACCAGACGTCCCGCTTTTGGCGGGACAGTCCCGATTTTTAACAATCTGTCCCGCGAGACACGGGACAAATTGTTAAAAATCGGGACTGCCCCGCCAAAAGCGGGACGTCTGGTCACCTTAGCCTAAAACTCCACCGTTTGAGTACTTAAGAGCGTCCACACTTCTTGTCTAGATGCCCGAGACAGGTCGCCATTCCCATGGGTGTGTCTGCTCAGTGGCTAAGAAAAATAAAATTTAAAAAGTTTTTATTTACTGATGAGAGAGAGAGGGAGAAAGATATCTATAGAGAAACATCAGTCTGTTGTTCCACTCATTTGTACATTCATTGGGTGCTTCTAATAAGTTTCCTGCCCAGGGATTGAACCTGCAACCTTGAGTGTATCAGGAAGATGCTCTAACCAATGGAGCTGCCCAACCAGGGCTGTGAGAAACCCTGAAGGAAGCAGCTTTCAGGGTGGGGTGGGGTAGGCAGCAGACGTCATGTCATTGAGGCAAGAATGCTGTCTTGAGAATGAGTCCCACTTGTGCCACCAACTCAGGACACAGACCTAGGAAGCCATCCGACCTCGGAGCAGAGATTTCTCCCAGGGTCCCAGTGAGACCCACAGAGATGAGAAAGACAACCCACAGAGACATGGATCTTCCCCACCCCCCAGCCAGAAACTATTTTAAAATACTGACTCTTTTTTTTTCTTTGTAAAATTCTGTGCCTTTAGGTCCGGTGGCCAGCCTCCTCATTCAAGCAGCAGCCAGATCTTGCAGCCTTGACTGCCCGGGGGAAAGAATGACGCAGGAGAACCGAGATAAGGAAGAGGCTGAATTCCTGGCTTTTGAATTTTAAGAGCCTGCGGAGGACAAGCTTCCGAAGGACTCGAAAGCAAAGCATCCCGGTCTCGGAGACCAGACAGGACTTTCCGGGCTGCAGAATGGTGTTGGTTTGATGGGAAGGGGACGTGGACAGGGGTGCATCCCGAGGAAGGGCAGAGAAGGTGGGAGGTCAGGGGGGAAGGGAGGGGTCCACAGGGGGCCCTTGGCCACACGGGAGCAAGGACAGACAGCTCAGCAGAAGCCAGCGGCCAAGGACCAGAGGACCCCTCTTCCTGAGGCCCCATAGGTAGCCAGTCTCCAAGATGGCCTCCGCAAACCCCACCTGGAATCTGCATTTCCCCCTTCGCTCGCTCAGGAATGTCTGTGGAGTCAGTACCCCACAGGGGAGGTGACGTGTGACTTCTGAGGTGAGGTCAGGCATGGCTTTGCAGCTTCTACCTTGTCCTTTCAGATTCCCTTCTCAGAGGGAAGCTGTGCTGGGAGGACACCTGAGCAGCTCAGCGGGGAGGCCCATCCAAGGCGCCGTGGCTCAGTGGTTAGCGTCGGCCTATGACCCAGGAGGTCATGGTTTCATTCCTGGTCGGGGCACACGTCTGCCTTGCCCCAAAAGGACATGTGGGGGCACCTGGAGATATGCAACTCCTCGATCCTGGGTTTTGGGGGGACCCCTGAGCCCGTGCCCGTCTCTTTTCTGGGCTCCCTCTGACTCCTCGCTGCAGCCCGTCCCGAGAGCACACGTGAGCTCTGCTCGATGCCCAAGCCCTTCGGTTTGTCTCGTCGGAAAGCCTGGTGGGAAGAGCCCGTCAGGAAGAGAGGGGGAGATGGATTGCCTGCAGCCGCAGGGCCCCCGAGGAGAGGAGCGGGGAGCCAGGTGACGGAAGCCAGGCCTGTGATTAGCGGGCAGGGGTGGCACACGCCTCCCCTGGAGATGTCAAAATATTTGAAAATCCTCTTCCTTTGAGGAATGGAGTTACCAAACTGTATTTTTTTTTTTTTCTCTTTCTTTTTGCTTTTTGCATGCAGAGAAGAGTCTGGAAGAGGGGTTAAGATCCATTTCCAGACTCAGCAGAGCTCAGCTGCATTCTGACCTCAGGCCAGTCTGTGGGCCTCTCTGACCCTCCGTTTCCTCATCTAGAAAGAAGGATTTCGTCTATAAAAACGACCCTGCACACCTCCCCCAGTCTCTTTTGTTTGTCGTTGATCCTTACCTGAGGATAGTTTCCATTGAGTTTTAGGGAGAGTGGGAATGAGAGGGAAAGACAGAGGGAAACATCCGTATGAGAGAAACACATCGATGGGTTGCCTCTTGCACAAGCCCCATCCAGGGCCCCGGGCTGGGGAGGAGCCTGCAGCCCAGGTATGCGCCCTTGACAGGAATCAAACCCGGGACCCTTTGGTCTGCGGGCCGAGGCTCTATCCACTGAGCCAAACTGGCTTAGGGATCCCTCTCTCTTTGAATTCATGTCTTCTGCAGTGTAATTTACAGCTCCTCCCATCTCCAGGTGAGGTCTTTTTCCCCACTTGATCCTGGGCTGTTTGTGTGACTTATTCGGACCAATAGAATGTGGCGAAAGGGGTGGTCTGTCAACCCCAAGCCTAGGTTTCAAGAGGCCTCGCTGGCTGTGTTCTCTGGCCTCCATAAGACGCGGCTCAGGCCAGCCTATTGGAGGAGGAGCGCCCACATGGAGTAGACAGGGGCTGCTCCCTCCGAGGCCATCTTAAAACACCTGGCACCCCCCCCCCCCCGCGAGTGACTACAGACGTATACACGAGCCAGCTGATAGCGACCGAGACAGACCTTTCAGTCTGCAGGCCGATGTTCTATCCACTGAGTCAAACCAGCTTCAGCTGCAATTTCTTTTGAGAGCCAACTTTTAAAAACTTAAACTTCTTCGAACGCCATGTCTTCAAAATAGACTCATCCAGGCCATGGTATTTTGTGGAAAAGTCACACTCAAGGGGCCAAAGAGCCGCAGGTGGTTCACGTGTCGCCGTCTGCTGACCCACAGCTGTAGGGCAAGTCAATGCTTTCCTCTCCGCTTTCCAGATGAGGCTGTCGAGAGGCTGAGCAACTTTCCGAAGGTCACACAGCCTATGGGTTTATTTATTTATTTTATTTATTTTTATTTTTTAAATATATATTTTTTTATTGATTTTTTTCAGAGAGGAAGAGAGAGAGAGATAGAGAATTATAAACATCGATGAGAGAGAATCATCGATCAGCTGCCTCCTGCACACCCCCTACTGGGGATGTGCCCACAACCAAGTTACACATGCCCTTGACCAGAATCGAACCTGGGACCTTTCAGTCCGAAGGCTGACTCTCTATCCACTGAGCCAAACCGGTTTTGGCCAGCCTATGGGTTTAATAACCAGAGCTCACCTGTGTAGCCACTGCCAGGGAGGAGGAGAGAGAGAGAGGCAGGCACCAGGAGGAAGAGGCACAAGGATTTTGTCCCGGGCGCCCTGCGTGAGTGACAGCTGTCAAAAGGCCAGGCAACGGGGCGCTCCTTGTCTCTGACTAAGCTCTCTGCCCGCTCGGGGAGCCGGGAGAATCTCTTGTCTGGCTCTTGGGTGTCGCCCGCAGGAAAGGAGCCCGGCCCCTGGCACCTCCCCACCTGCAGGGCTGCCAGGGGTGCAGGGCACAGCCCGCCAGCAGACAGCCCCCCCCCCCCCCCTCTTGCTTTCCTCTTTCCCCTGGAGCGATGGGGGCCTGGCGGAGAGGCAGGAGCGGCGAGGCGGGCCTGGCAGGCCGGTGATAGCTAGTTACCGACAGGTTGATGACTGCCACCGAGGACTGCCCGAGGACATGGAGACGGAGGAGCCACTTCTGAGGCCCGCTGCTCCGAGCGCCGGCTGCCAGCTCTCCGCCCAGGGCTCCGCTCCCCCTCGCCATCTCATTAATCCTGATTTACAGAAAAAGGCGGCAGGCAGGGCCCTCTTAACAGGCCGAGCAGGCGACTGATTTGCCTTCACTGAAGACAATGGTGCCCAGGAGACCTGGCACTGCTGAATTATTCAAATCGGCGTGGCAGGGAAGCCTGGCACAAAGCGCAGCGGGGTCCCCGGTCCCCTGACAGCCCCCCCCCCTTTGCCTGTCCCCAGGGTGGTGGCCCCCGGCAGCTTGGGACGGCCGGCACAGGCCCCTCCGCAGGGAGGGACACGGGCCCGCTCCGGCCGCCCCTCCTCCCCGATGGAAGAGGGAATTGGCGTTGATCATCGCTAAGCACCTTCCAGCTCCGGTAATGGATCCAAAATGACATTTCCCACCTGCTGGTCCCGGGAGGGATATTCTGACAAGGACTTCTGGGTGAACATGGGATGGGGGCAGTGGGGGGGGGGGACGAGGGCGGCAGGGGATGGCTCTCCTATCAGAGAGAGAGAGAGGGAGAGAGAGAGGGGGGGGGGAGAAAGGGAGAGGGAGAGAGAGAGAGAGAGAGAGAGAGAGAGAGAGAGAGGGGGAGAGAGAGAGAGAGTGTGTGGTGTGTGCATGCACGTGGTTCAAAGAATCTGAGGACGGAGGGTGACCCCCGGCTCCCGCACACCCCAGTTTGTGCTCAGGGCGGCGGGGGTGGGGGGGGGGGAGCATAATGAATAGGCAGTTCTCCTGTTTAGAGTTTTTTAGAGATTCAAGCGTCAAGATGCTCAGACGGCCGAAACCGGTTTGGCTCAATGGTTAGAGCGTCGGCCTGCGGACTGAAAGGTCCCAGGTTCAATTCCGGTCAAGGGCACATCCCCAGTAGGGGGTGTGCAGGAGGCAGCTAATGGATGATTCTCTCTCATCGATGTTTCTAACTCTCTATCCCTCTCTCTTCCTCTCTGTAAAAAAAAAAAAAAAAATCAATAAAATATATTAAAAAAAAAAAAGAAAAAAAGATGCTCAGACGTGGCATTGACCCTGAATGAGGAGGGAGCGTGCCACAGCGTGGTGGGCTCCCGGGGGTGGGGGTAGGGGGGAGCACAAGAAGGGTAAACTGAGGCCCAGAGAGGTTGCAGGACTCGCCCAAGGCCAGAGGAAGTGTTCACGGAGTCCGACTTGCAGGCAGGGGCTGTGATGGACAATCTCTGCTGATGTCACGGTCACCCGGACTGTACCCATTCTCCTGACGGGGAAACCGAGGCTCAGAGAGATCCTGCCACCGGGCAGGCTGGAAAGGGACAGATCTGGGCTGGAAAGGTGGTCTGTCTGACGGAGGCTGGGCCCTGGATTGCTCTGCCTGGGGGAAGGCCAGAGGCCCGGGTTCCAGCCTTTGCAGGATATGCCTCCTCTCCGAGGCGGTGCTGCCGCCCCCTGGTGGTGGCCCCGGGGAGGGGCGGGTAGAGAGCCTAACCTCAGAAGGTCTGTCTGCCTCTACAGTGTCTGGAAGGAGCTGCTCTGAGCCCCGGGGAAGCTTGGGAGGGGGGTGGGGGTCTCTGAATGATGGGAGGAATTTTATTAATAAAGGGGCTTAGGATTCGAACCCAGGGCTTTGCTACACAAGCACGCGGTCTCTTCGCCACACCACACACACACACACCTTTTCTGTCCGGCCTGAAGTCCCTCCCACCAGGGCGGCCCCCTTTCTCCCTGTCCACGGGACCCCATGAGGGTGGCGGTGCCCCATTGCCCGGTTCACAGGGTGAGGACCCGTCTCCCGGAGTCCCCAGAGGGAGGCTGGATGCTCTGCAGCAGCAGCGCCATGCACCTGGCAGCCCTGCCTTCCCAGGGCGCTGTCCCTTTTATTAGAAAAACCCGTTCTTCCCAGGGAATCTGAGCCCGGGGGCGAGGCCCTCCCATCAGCTCTCCTTAGGCATCAAGGACTCCGAATTAGCATTTGCTAAGTGCACGGGGCCCTCCCCGGGCCCGCACCCCCTGCGGAAAAACCACACGGAGGGAGATTTATCTCCTGGGTCAGATAAAGGTGACTAAATGCAAACTGGCCGATTCCTCTCTGCAAACAGTTCCCGGGGGAGGGCTCTTACCAGGAGGAGAAGGGCCAATCGATCAGGGAAATGCTCGGAGGTGACTTCCAGGGGAGACTTAAAGGAAAAAGCCCTCGTGTTTTTACAGCCTCCAGCGACTCATTCAGACAGTAAAAGTCCCTGGCCAGCCCGGCCAGGGAGCAAGGAGCCAGGGGGAACTGAGCAGCAATGCAAAGGGGACACTGCAAAGGTCGACCTTGGGACCTCCAGCTGTGTGTGTGTGTGTGTGTGTGTGTGTGTGTTTATTGATTTTTTATTTTATTTTATTATTATTATTTTTTTACCGAAGAGAGAGGGATAGAGAGCCAGAAACATCGATGAGAGAGAATCATCCATCAGCTGCCTCTTGCATTCCCCCCACTGGGGATGTGCCCTCAACCAAGGTACATGCCCTTGACCGGAATCGAACCCGGGACCTTTCAGTCCGCAGGCTGACGCTCTATCCACTGAGCCAAACTGGTTTCGGCCTCCAGCTGTGTTCTTTATTCACCTTGCAAGCAGCTATTGAGTGCCTACTGTGTGCCTGCAAAGCACGTCCTTCTTGCTTTGGTTTCTCCTCTCTCTGCCTCCATCAGCACAGAGAACTTCCTATAATCAGTCCGTGAATCTTCAATATTGGGTTCCCTTGGAGTCTCCAGGTGGCCGCTCCCTCATTTCAGCAAGTCCCCACCTGCTGGGAAAGGGAACTTGGTCTGGCAGCCACCTGCAAACTTTTTTCTGCAAAGGGGCAGATGGTACATATACCATGGCTACTAGTAAACGGTCTTTGTCATAATGACTCACACAGCTGCTGTGGTGCAAAGACAGTGTGTAAATGAATACGGTGAAGCATGTAAACGAGCAGCTCCAGGTATGCAAACAAATATGTAAATGAACGGCACGGCCCCCTGCGAATAAAACTTTATTGACAAACACAAGCAGTGGG